TGCAATATACCCTTTTTTGAAACCTTCAACTGACTCATTTCTACAACTACAACCGTTTTTTTACAAGAAAATTGAATTCGATATTTGCCACCAACAATTTCGAAATTCAGAACCATCTAGTCAAAGTCCAGTTTTGCCCTTACCTTTTTAATCCAATCGACACCTAAAATAATGATATTGTTCAACCCTGGCAAACCAAGCACGCTCTTTCGCGAATGACTTTTCCTAACATAACAGTACTAGTCGTTGTATTCTTTGAAATTTGAAATTATCTACAGGTGATATTGGAATATTTTCTACATGCTTAGGTATTCAATAAAAACAGTCTTGCGATATTGCCAAAATGTCACCTCCACCCCCAAGTTTGTATTTCTCCATCGTTTTTTCGATAGCAGTTGATTTTTCTACTAAATTTTCACCCCCTCTCTCTCTCCTCCTCCTACGAATCTGTGCTAATAGTTCGATGGGAAATCAAAAAATGCAGCAATTTCATGTACATTTCCCTTATTTCTTCATACATTTTTCAGCAATATTACTGTTATCATTATTATCTCGAGACATCTCACCTAATATAAAATCTATTATTTTTATTTCTGGCACCCATATTATCTCTACCACTTCCTTCCTTTGAATCATCCTGTACTCGCCACGTGTCGTCAAGTTTCCTCAGATAAATTTCAACCAACCTCTTTAATCTTTTTCAAGACTTGTGTAATAATACCCAGCTGTATTTTCGTCGAAAAATGTTTTGATATCATCTACACCAATTTTCCATTCGGTATTTTTTCCATCAAATAGTCTGACTGAATTACACGAATGAGAAAATAATAGGGATGCCTACTCTCTCCACTCTCTTGGGATTTATTTCTGGAAACAAATTCTTGCTCATCAACCCCTAGAATTTCTCTTTGAATGCTCTTTCAAACCTACATATTTACTTCAAGTTCCCTCTTCAATTATTGTTCAATCTGTAGCTGATCCGCGTGCTGTATTCATCAATGAATTAATTTTACTATCAGGCACCTCAGTATTTTTCTATTTGGATGAAAACTCTCGATAGTACTCAACTGATGAACCACATATCAAGATCTTCAGATGATGTGGTGCTGCAGGTTTTTCCGGGTTTTCCTGCAGCTGAAAAAGCAAATGCGTCACTGGAATCAATGAAGTCGCCCCGGAACGCCAATAAATTTTTGTTGATGTTTTATAATTTCATGATTTGTATTTTGGAAGTGTTATAAATTTTAATTATTATGGAAAAGAAAGTTTTTGGCCTTCTACTACATCTTGATATAAAAATCTGGTAGTCTTCCAAAGAGAGGAAGGAAGCAATCAATTTCAAAATATTTCTATACAAAGATGTGTAAAGTGAAGTTTTGAAATTATCATTATTATTCATTATTCTTTTCCACATGACGTATTCAGAGAACACACTTCAATGTGAGATTTCCACTTGAAAGTATTTTTGTGACCGGCAGATAACGTACCTGGTTCAGTTGAATTGACGAATCATGATTGGATTTACAAAAATGTATTCAATATCTCCCTCTGGACTTATCTGTGAGTTTGTTTGGTTAGTACTCAACTGTACTTATGATGCACTGTTTGGAACCTTTGGTGTAGTACTGGAGTTTTTTCCCAACAGCAAACCGTTATCTTACCACCTTGCTACGTGTTTCGATCACCAAGTGATCATCTTCAAAAGGAAGATCAATCTGATATTAGTCTTGAAGATGATCACTTGGTGATCGAAACACATGTCAAAGTATTGAAATAACGGTTTGCTGTTGGAAAAAATCTCCAGTAATATTCAGTACTTGACTGATTTCCCACTGACAAGATAATTGATGACTTCGATATTCGGCATCCTGTTAGATTCATTGATTAATTCCTTTTGACTCATCTCTATGAATTATTCAGTTCATTTCATGAATACACGGAATTCAGAAAAATGAATTAAATTTAGTCAACTGATTCAAGCTTGATTGCGTTTTCTCAGAAATACATAATACAGAGTGAGTCAACAAAATTCCTTCGGTCCATTGCATTCAAGGAAAACAATTTTCCGAATTGCTCAATTTTTTCCGCAGTCATATCGATGAATACTATCTTGAAATTATTTCCTCACATACTGGGTGGTTCAGCCGAGCGTGGCCAAACAAAGTTATATTTTTTCAAATAAAACACCCAGTATATGAATACGTCATTCGTTTCCATATGTTCTTAGCTCTCTAAGGTATTTTTTTTAAATTTAGATAATAGTTTTTCAATTCACCAACCGCATGTCTACAGCAATTATGATAATTTTGGAAATCTCAACTTCCGGAAACAATATATACGGTGCTTGGTTTCATAAATTTATTTTCAAAGAGACATAATTCACCTTTTTCAAATCGAACACCCTGTATTTTTTCATTTGTATGAAATTTTCAAACATTTTACTACATTTTTTATCAGAGATATACCATACGAAAAACAGATATTTTACAAATTATACCCAGTTTTATTAATTGTTGTAACCACAAAAAATTCATTTATTTACGTTCACTGACTCAAAATGTTTTCAATATGAAAAATAACGCCTACATTTATTATTGAATGTAGGAGTCCAAAAAATGTTCAAAATGGCGACTATTTTCTGCAACACATAATGTCAGTCTTTTTTCAAACGAATTCTGTACACGTTTCAGCATATCCTCTGAGATTTACTCGAAAGCTCTAATGATTCTTCGTTTCATGTCTTCTATAGATGTTGGAGGAGTTTGATAGACAATTCATTTGATATATCCTCATAAAACATTCATTCTGGTCAGGTCAGGTGATCTAGGTGGCCACGCCATAGGCCCACCCCTACATATCCATGTTTGATTGAAATGATCGTTGAGGTATTCCCGTACCTCAGTTTCACAATGTGGTAGTGCCTCGTCTTGTTATAGCCACATTCTAAGTCTTGTTCCATACGGAACCCCGTCCAAGAAAGTCTAAAACTTATGATGAAGAAATCTTACATATTATCTTCCAGATGAGATGCCCATCCAAAAAATACGGACCGGTAACTCTTCTTACGAAAATCATCATCATTTTCCTGATTGATCTTTTGTAAGCCCTATCAGCAAAATTGAACACGTTTTTCAAAATCTCTTGCATCAATTGCTGTGGTAAGAATAAAATTTGCTTGCTCGTATCATTCGACACATGCTGTTTTGAGAAAATCCTAATTCCCTGCTCATGTCTCCGGTACTCACATGGGCATTTTCAACAATGTTTCAGCAATTTGAAATGTATTTTTTTCATTTGTTACATGGCATACACATTCAAACTTCTCGTGATTGACATTACCAGTTCTTTCAAATTTTATTTTTAGAACCTGAAATGCTCTTCCATCTGTAAATTCTAGATGCAAGGAGGCAGTTTCCGTCACTTTTCCCCAAAGCATAGACCATGATTCAATCTACATGCGAAAGGAACTTTTAACACATGGCGTTATTGACAAATTCCCAGATTCATTTTTTGATGTCAGTCATTGACTGGGTTTTTAAAGAAAAATGCAGTATAAATATTCTTCCGTTGAAACCGTTGATAACTATATATCACTAGCACTAAACGGTATGAAAAATGATCTTATACTAGCGATTAGCTTGAACATTCGAAAAACAAATTTGAGTAAGTGAACGTAAAAAACATATTTTTTTGTGGTTACAACAATTACTAAAACTTTGTATAATTTGTGAAATATCAGTTTTTCGTATAGCATATCTCTATTAAAAAATGTAGTGAAATGTTGAAACATTTCATACAAATGAAAAAATACAGGGTGGTCCATTCGAAAAAGTTGAATTATGTCTATTTGAAAATGAATGAAACTTGACCGGTTTTACCGTGCACCCTATATATTGTTTCCGAAAGTTGAAGTTCCAAAAATCATCTCAGTGATGTGGATTAACTATTTTCGAAAAAATCCACTTAATTGCTGTTGATATGCGGATGGTGAATTAAAAAATTATTGTCTGCAAAATAGGTTTCGATAACAAAAATTTCTCAGAGAGAAAAAAAATGGAAACGAATGACGTATTCATGTACTGGGTGTTTTATTTAAAAAAATTTAACTTTGGTTGGCCACGCTCTACTGAATCACCCAGTATGCGAGAATATAATTTTTAAAGATAGTATTTATCGATGTGACTGCAAAAAAATTGAGCAGTTCAAAAAATAGTTTCCTCTTATAGCAATGGACCGAGGGAATATTGTTGACTCACCCTGTATGTCTATTTTTAACAAAATATTTGTATGACAGTTTCTCCATGAAATACTCAATTTGACACCGGATTGTTGAGAAAAAAATGAGAAGGAATGAACTTCAGGAACATCATTTGTATGTTTCAACTATATGATATAGATAAACAAAAAGAATCATCGATTTAATTTTCACGATAGATCATACTAAGTTCAAAAGGCGATAATTTCCAAAAAAAATTTCTTGCTTTCAGCATAACGTTTTTCCTGAATTTCTTTATTTCATTAACGAACTTTTTAAAAGCACCGATGAAAATGGTGATTTGTTGATTTTCACAAAATCAATCTGTCGATAACTTTTTATTGCATATTCCAGTCTTACGTACTGGATAAGTAAAATGGTTTTCCTTCTTAAAGAAAGACTCAAAGACCTGTTTCGAATATTATTTTTCTATTTTAACATGGCAACATTCTTACAATTCAGGTAATTTGTTTTCATATTTTCACTTTTCTGAAAGTTACAGAAATTCCTCTCAGCTGGTTTTTGATTCTAGGAACGTTCAAGGAGCTCAAGATGAGTTGAAAAAAATATATACCTGAGTTACTGAATTCAGGAAGTTTATCAGGAAGTTTTTCTTCGTGAATACATCTACTTCCATCATGATTTCAGCTATTTGTTCAATATTTTGATTATTCAAACGGATCCATACAATAATACGCAATGAAAAGTAGATGAATAATTTTTTGTACATTATTTTCAGGGATTTGGAAACAGTCCTTCAGCCAATATCGCGGTAGTATATCATTTTTTCATAATACTCCTCACGTTTTGAGATTCATTGCATACAAATTCCATTCAATTTTTTATATACTTCAGATCTGAATGTAGATTAGACTAAAACTCGTATTTTTTACCCTACATTTTTTTCTGATATTACAGTTTGGATATACGAGAATCAGGGATATGCAAACAGCTATATTACATCAAAATATAAATAGCTGAAATTCAGTCATATCTATTCAAAAGAGAAGTTTTGAGGAATATAACGAATTTTCAAGAATAAGAATTTGTTCTGATATCCAGACTGGAATATAACTATAACGAATAACACTGTGATAATTTCCCGTTTTCAATTCGTAGTTTTTGCTTTAACTAGCTTCGAATCATCGTTCAACTCAGAATACGTTTGAGCTGGACGTGTTTTTAAACGAGTTCCACCTAACTTTAAAGTTTTTCTCATTGCATTGCATGTCCTCTTTCTATAAAAAGCATGTAACTTATTTAATGCAATTTTCTGAATGTAATATTCTACTAAATACCTAGCACGAAAGTATTACTTCCATGTCGAATTAACGAACTAGGTCAACGCCATAGATAGCCGAATAGTAGTCGGTAGACAACTAATAGATTACAATCTGAGTTCGAATAGTTAAGTAACCTGTTGATCGATATATACGAGGACTGTTAAAAAAATAAGGCGAATTTTCATTTTTCTCAAAAAATATTTATTTATTCATCAATGTCTATTGTTTCTTTCAAAGCAGTCCCCTTCACATACAATTTTCGTTTTTATCTCATCAATCGTCGTAAAACGCCGTCCGTTCATGGGTCACTTGAATCTTGGGAACGCCAAATATTTGACCCCCTGCGAAAAAGTCGCAGGGTCTCAAATTTGGTGATTACGGTGACTGATCAAAAAATTACGAACAAGCAATGATGAATGGGTAGGTACATTAACGTGATGCAGAAGCCATGAAATATTTTTCCACAATACCGGACGTTTTTTCCGTATTGCTTCTCGCAAGCGGCACATAAGATACTACTTACTCCTTTTTGACCGTACGACCAAATGGCGAACACTCCTGATACATTACGCCACGGTAATCGAAGAAAACAGTTAGCAAATCCCTGACATTTGATCGAACTTGGCGTGCTATTTTGCGTCTTGGCTTTCCTGGGCTCTTCCATTGGGATGATTGTACTTTGGTATCGATGTCATAACCATATATACCTATGATTCGTCACAAGTTATGACCCATTTAAGCAAACCTGGATTGCCATTGACGTCATTCAACAATTTCTGAGCAGCAGTGCTCAAGCGACGGTTTTTCTGAACAAAATTCAGCAAGTTTGAAGCGAACTTCATTGCCATACGTTCCATGCCTAAAATTTACCAAAAAATTGCATGTCATGAGCCAACCGATATGCCGACATCTTCAGCAACTTCTCTGATAGTGATTCGTCGACCGTATGCTACTGTCAATATTTCGAGTGTTTTGAGCACTCAATTCCATTTCTTACACAAAATTTGATGCGATCAATTTTTTTTAGCAGATGATCGCCAAACACCCAAAATACTTCTGAATTGTATGCCTCTCATCAACAAACTAAACCTGCTAAACAGTTAAAATGGTGAATATATACCGGGTGATTCTCTACGGTGGCTCACCCCTATAACTTGTTTATTATTGGAGATATTAAAACGAAATTTAAGAATTATATATTATAGTTCCATTTACATTTTTTGGCATATTGACTTGCTTCGTCGCACTTCCGGTTTGGCCGGAAATGACCACAACTTTCGATGTTTAAATAAAACATCCTATATAGTTTTACTTAATTCGATCGAGAATTATCTAACGGAGTGAGATCTAGATCTGGTGATTTAGAATATGAAAAAGAAATAATATATTTATGTAAAAATATGACAACTCAAGAATGTACCTCGCAGGCCACTGAATAAGTCCACAAGTGTCATTCCACTTTTCTGGGAAGGTGTCATTCAGATGTTCTCTTACGACTTGAGAATTGTGAGGTGGCGCTCCATCTTGTTGAAATTAGATATCAACTTGCTTAGACAGTGGCAAATCTTCAATAAGATCATTAATTTTATTTTTTAGGAACTGTAGATATCTTTCTGCAGTCAGTTGTCCGTCAAAAATTATTGGCCTCCGAAAATACCCATCCAGCAATTGAAACCAAAGCGCTCTTGAAAATTTCTTTCTTGCGTCAGATGTAAATTTGTTTGAGATCAGTACCTTTTATTATTCCTATTAAACATAGTTGGTGAATTCGGTTTCATCTAAATACATAATTTCAAATGGAAAACGTACATCTTCTCTGTATTTAGTCAAAAACCAGTTGCAATAAGTCATTCTTCGGTTGTGATCGTTATCGTAAAGATGTTGATATAGTTGGTACTTGAATGATCGATAATTATATTTGTGAAGATTTCTACAAACGGACGAATAACTTTCATCAAACTCAGAAACAATTTGGCGAATTGGCGCCGTACAATTCACTTCAACATAGGCCAACATTAAAGTTATTGGCATTTTCTTCTAGTTCATTTCGCATTTTTCTTTCCAGTATTGGAAAATAATGCCGAGGGGGATGGTGACGATTAGAGAACCTGTGAGCATAAACTCGAGCTGCATCAGTTGCATTCTTTTTTGTTTCTCCGTAATTTATCAACATGTCAATTTTCTTGTTTCTAGTATAATTTGCCATATCTAATTATAAACTACACAAGAAATAAATTTTTAAAAGTGACAGCATATTCATTAGCCTATTTGCTTAGGTAGTAGTCCTAGCAACAGCTTCAATTGTTTGTCACGGATAACTAGACTAACATCAGGACTTTCTTGCTCGTTTCTTGCAATTATTTAGAAAAATAGAGAAAATAAAGTGAAAGTGTGTGGCATCAAATTATTTGTAAGAAAATTATCTTTCACAAAATGCCGATGAGCCATCCTCTTTCCATTTGAAAAAAATCAAGTTAACTGGAAAAATTCATATTTGTTGGATTTAGAATGTCATTCTTGATAGAAATAAGTAAAAATATATAAGTTGTCCTATTCAAAATCGAAAGTTGGGGTCATTTCCGGTCAAACCGGAAGTACGGCAAAGCAAGTAGGTAAATATGTCAAAAAATGTAAATTGAACTATAATACACAAATACAAATTTCGTTTTTCTATCTCCACCTTAGAGAGCCACCTTAGAGAATCACCCGGTATACGAGACGAGTGTACCAACATAAAACAATCGCGAATCGAATATACGTATCCTGCGTATTTCGAACCTTCACCTTATTTTTGAATAAACCTCGTACAGTTTCTTCATAATATAACTCATATGAAATAATGTTTCTATTGAAAATAATTTTTCCAACACAGAACCGAAAATTTGTCTTTTGACGCGCGTTTCGCTAACCAAGTTATCGTCATCATAAGTTAACTGATATATTTCAGTCATCTTCTGATGATGTTAACTTGGTTAGCGAAACATGCGTCAAAGACAGAATTATTTTCTGGTCTGGAAAAATTATTTTTGATATAATAGAAAATTTTCCCTTCAATATTCTGAATATTGTATTTTCGGAAGGTGTTGGAAGATACGCCAATACATTTCAGATCCATTTTCGAACTGCTTCAATACTTATCAGTAGGTCCTGTCATCGATATAATGCCACTTCTTCGTTCCTTTCTATTGGAAGATGTTAGAAAATAATCAAATTGATATCTATAACCCACTGTTATTATAAATTCATAGGAATGCATGGTCTTTTATGTTTTCCGACACCAATCTTCTGGACATTTCTATAGAGCTTTTTGAAGTATACAGGGCTTTTCATGATGAGCGTTAATTAGCCGTTTCTGACAAACTATTTAACGGATCGACCAGAAAATTTCACAGTACGCATAAATCAATATGACCTACACGCCTAAAATATTTCAGACGAAGCGGCGTTGTCGCTTTTACTATAAAGTAGCGGCTTCTTTGATTTTTCAAATGGAACACCCCGTATATAATATCATATCATGATTCATTATCACTTTGTCAACAAATTCATATACTATTTCCCTATACCTATCTATTACCGTTTAGAAGATATAAATTAATTTCGATATTTTTTT